AGCCTTATAAATTTCAACTTGCTCTAGATGTTTGAGAAAGGGTTGCTGGAAGAGCTAAGTATGAGGGTTGAAATCCACACTGATGTCATGGTCAGAGGCAAAGATAGCTAGTGCAGTGCTGGCTGATGGTTTCAGGATGGATTCTGAGCTGATACTTCTGATCAAGATCAATAAAAAAGTTGAGATGACAACAATACTTTCTAAAAAGAAAATTCTCTTGTTTAACTAAAGTTAATATTGACTTCTAATACAGCACTTTTAATTGTGATCGTTAATTAATTATTGATTGGAAATACTTTATTGATTGCTTTAATAAACATATTTCTCTGAGTAATGAAAAAGAATAGTATACTTTTGCTAACCTGGAACTTAACCCTATGTTTTGCATTAGTCCTTTGTTTCACGTAGCATGGATTCATGTAACACTGCACTTGTTTGGAACTTAACTATTGTGTTATATGATGAATACCTGTATTATATTTAAGTGTTTCATGAATAATAGGCTATTAGATAATAACTATTATATTTATCTCAATTTTAAAATTTAAATAAATTATTGGATTTAAAAGAAAATTTTATTCCATGTTAAATGTTTTTTTGTTTTTTTTTCTTTCTTTTATAGGAGATGAATCATGTTTAGAAGACTAAAGTACAGTGACTAATAAAATGTGTATTTATGAATTGTGCTGAAAAAATATTGCATTTATGCTGAGATTTAATATTAGCAGAAAACAATTTCACTAAAATATGGAAAAAAGAAATTGTTTTGATTCATACTTTAAAAAATCATTTATTAGCATGTAGTGGAGAGAGTGATTCTCTGTGTAGTGTGTGTCAGAAGAATTTTATAGGAAGAAAAATGCTTTAATGAACCAATTAAAAAATATCTTAAAAGAAATTACAGGGTAATATTTGGAAGATTTATATTATAAAATCTTCATTAATGAGAGATACGACTTTCAGCTATGAAGTATACAATATGTATAAAATGCTTATTTTAAATAATTTGTAAATTATAAGAATATATAATTTTTTCTTACAAATTACACATTATAAGATTATTTTTTAGGTTGAAAGTTTTTTATTCTAAGAAGCCTTTTTTATAATATGAAATTTGTAAGGAAAGTTTAGTTTTAAAAATAACATAATAAAATGTCAAGATTATTATTATGGAGAGGTGCTATTTCAGTTCAATTATTATAAGAAGAATTTTAAATAGAAGTTAAATGTAGTAAACTAGTTGCAAGTTTTGTAAGAAGTTTTAGACAGAAATGTTATTCTATTAAATAACATTACAAGAATAATTGAAAATGTAAATCTGATCAACTAGTCATTGAAAATGCCATAGAGATCAAAAATTTTAAAATAGCTCAGATACATCAAAAAAAATAGACTCAATGTCATGGGCAAGTAAGAGCTTCCAATATAAATTGTACTTAAAATTAATATTTATAGGAAAGCGTATTGATTATAGCATTGCAAGAATTAAAAATTTACTGTAATTCTGAATAATCTTTAACTAATTTTGGATCTTTTCAGTATGAAAATTACTATTACCGAAAATGTTTCATGAAACATCAAAAGTGTCATTCTGATAAAAGTCCTTTATAATATGAATGTATTTCTTGCAATGAATAAATACCACTAAAGATAAGTGCTATTTAGAGTAATTTTCGAATGAATAATTAGAGAGCAGAAATTCATGTAATCAAATGAGACAATTTGTATAAAATATTTGAAGAATCACAATAATCTGGATATTAAAATCTGATATAATAAATATCCAAATCAGTTTGAAATGTATTTGGAATTCAATTAAAATTACCTTCAAACAAATAAGTATAATTAAGAAAACAGTTTCCCCTATAAAACACAACCTAATATGCATCCACCTATCTGTACACATTCTTTATTTGTATCATTCAGTGTAGTTAAGAAAATAACTGATACTGAAAACTACAAATGAAATAATCTTTTTGTCACAAAGTACTTTTTGGCTAAATATAAAAATAGTTTAAGAAACAGAATATCTTATCATTGTTATTTAGAGTATATACATACACATATCAACACCACTTTTTAAATACAATCAGAAATGGACCTTATAATGCTCCTCACACAGTATTATAGCAAATAGGATAACAGCTTAATTATTGATTAATTTTTAAACTGTTTATAAATTTCAGCATTAATGAAGCATCCAGTTCACCACTTCTGTTTACAACTAGTGCATTATTGGTACAGAACCATAAGCTTTCTTCAAAGATATTTTAAAAATTAATTAGCTTTGATGGCTACAAGTAAGTCATTACTTTAGAATTATTTTCAAATTTATTTATATTTTAAAAATTATGTCATAAAAGCCAAAATTAGACTGCCATTTGAAATAGTTTTTATCCTTCTTCACAAAGATTTCATCTAATTATACAGTAAACTAAGCTTGAAATTATAAATTAATCAAATGGTAATGCTGGATTAAAATAATATCAGGCTGTATTTCGTCTAATCCCAATGAATCTAGCATTATTATTTGATTGATTAAACAATTTCCTGCAACCACAAAAACTTACAAGTATCTTCAATAGAAGAAATTGTATTTTAATGACTCTTCGATAAATTTTGTGCACTATTTTCAAAAAAATATTTTAAAGCCATAGTCAATCTCTTGTATCTTTAACAGCACATACAGATATAATATATTTAATATTTGCAAAAACTATTTTAGAAATTTGTTTTCTTCTTCAAAACATATCAATAAATGGGACCTTTAAACTTCTGCTAAGAATTTGCTGAATATTTAAAGAAATTTGTAGAATCAGTTTTTGTATCATCCAGATTATTGGGATTCTCTCATAAAATAAATGATGAAAATCTTAAAAGTATAGTGAAAATATTTCTGATTTCTATACAAAAATATAATAAAATTTGCATTAAAGAATTTTCATTTAACAAATATTCAATTTTAAATTTTTTTACGAATATTTTGAGTTATATTTTCTTAGAATGTTTTCACTTGAGAATAATAAAAACATATTTCTAAGAGTGGAAATTTTTTATGGATTTATTAAATATATTTAATATGCTTATAGTTCAAAATTCTATAATAATTAAATTTATTTAAAATGATGATGTGTAAATGCTAGATGTATTTTCAGTATGAAAAAACAAATTTTTCATTTTATTTATTTATTAAACCTTTTCTGTATAAAAAAAATAAAAGATGTTTATGCATATCTGATTTGTGGTTACTAGAACTTAATAATTCTATATATAAACAACAATGGAACTTTATATAATATATTTTGGTATTAATGATGCATAAATTGTTGAATATTTACTTTTCAATTAGGAAAATACAACAAATTTCACATAATTTTTATCAAGTACACTATAGATTTTATAAAATTATAAAACAACACAGCTTTAAAATATGTGTTGAAGTTTTTAAACATACATATAGCAAAGTTCTTGATAAAAAAATCATATAAGCACTTCTAAAGTATTAAATTATAAAGCTTTAAATATTTGAAGGATATATATGCAGGGTGCAAAAGAGATTTTTACAGCATTGCATCAGCTCATGTTGTGAAAGTAATCATTTCATAGTAGTGTTTTACCAGTTAGCGTACTGATACTGGCTTTTTTTTTAAAAAAGAAGGTCAGTAGCAGTATGCTTTTATATTCTTATATTGGCTTTTATGATCTTATAAAACCCAATATTTGTAAGGAAAGTATTATCTAGTGGGAAAAAAATCAGGAAAGTTAGAGTTGTATAACTTTCCTTGCAAAAACATTTAAAATTGCATATGGTGCCTTCTGTTGTTACCTTTTATTAATAATTATAAAATCACAGACATGAAGAGGAAATTATAAAATGGCAAAATGCTTAAATTTGAGGATAGAGATGAGTTTAAAAAATTTTAAATACTAACGAGTAAAATCTTCATTAAGTCAATCCCACTCGAGATATGACACTTGACCCCCTTATCTTCCCACCCCATGACCTTTAACCATCAAAATTTCATAGCATCACTCTCGTAATATCCAAATCCCCGTGCAAAATGTCAGAAATTTTCGAAAAAAGTCAAGTGAGTTATTCAGCTTGAAAGTAGGCAAACAAAATTTTGCTCCCCCACATCTGGGATTGTCGTGCCAAAATTATGGTAACCCTTGTTGTAAGTAAGTTTATTTGTCCCATATTAATGAATAAAAGTATTTTTATTGCAAGATGCCAAATAATAGTTGTAATTTACTAAATTTGCTATCATCGTTCATGCCTGGATACATTTTTGACTTCTTTCAACTACCAAAGCAACAAGAGAATTTCTTTGCCTTCTTTATCAGTTTCTGTAATTTTGTAGGTGCTTCTCCAATGAAATGTTATGGGTGAAGTTTATTTTGATCGAACTCTATGTCCTCAGTCCACATTTGGGTCTCGATCTCATCGTAGTTCTATTTGAAACAATCTCAATCTGAATATCAGACTGAAAATGTAGATTAACATTTTCGATTGAACAATCAAACTGTTAATGAATACCCAAAGAGCTTTAGCTTGACCCATTCGATTTGTTAAGTGTATCTCCGAGGATTCTAAAGGAAGTCCTCGGAGGTACACTTAACAAATCTTCTGAATCTTCCGGATGTCGGGGATTCTCCTAAGAATCGGGCAGAAATTCACTTCTTTCTGGATTCTCCGATTGTCGATGATGGTTCAGTGATTCGGGCTAATTCCACTGACTTCTGGATATTTTGGATTGACTGTGGGATGAAATAACATTTGTTCATCTCTTATAGCCCATTAGTGACCAGTGGATAAAACTCACGGTTTTATCCACTTAGTCATTCCATTCGGGTTGCAGGTTTGCACCTGACCAACTGGCTGGCCATGTGGAAACCGGGAAAACAGGAAGACAAAAATCAGTTTAATATTTAAGTAAAGATCTTCAAATATATAAAGGAAAAGGTGTGTATAAAAATTATATATTAGATAAAAAAGCAATTCAAACAAATAAAAAAATAAGTAGATTAATTAAGTTTTTTAAAGATAAACAAATTTCTATTATAAAAGCAGATAAATCTTATGCACTTATCATTATTAAAAATTCAGATTTACAACAAAAGAAAAGACAAATAGTAACTACAGATGAATATGAAGTTTTACCTAGTGATCCAACAGAAGATATTAAAAAGAAACTAATTAAATTAATGAAAATATATAGAAAAGAGTTTACAAGCAATGAATTTAAGAAGATCGTCAATTTTAATAATGTACGTATTCCACAACTTAATATTCGACTTAAAACCCACAAGATTGGACAGATTTTTAGACCTTTAGTAGATTTTAAATATTCAGTATTGTATAATTTAGAATATTATATAAAAAATTATTTGCAGTGTATCCCCGACTCTAAATATACTATAAAAAATGCAGATCAATTGATCTCAAGATTAATGCAAGGTCAAAGTAAAGACTCTTATAGATTTTTAAGTCTGGATGTAAAATCTATGTATCCTTCAATAAATTGGAATTTTATTATGGAAAGTTTAAGTAAATATGATTTACCTTGTTATATCTTAGAATTTATTCAGTTTACTTTTAAAAATAATTACTTTAAAATATCTACAGAATATTATCGCCAAAGAGACGGGATCGCAATGGGATCAGTAATTGGCCCAAAGCTTGCCGATATTTGTATGGCATCAATAGATGAAAAAATCTTCCAGTACCAAGGTATTGTTTTTTATACTAGATATGTGGATGACATATTAGTTTTGTACGACTCAAATAACGTTACAGCTGAAAATATCAAGGATTATGCAAATAGTTTAAATAAGAACATTAAATTTACTTATGAAGAAGAAAAAAATTATGAAATTAATTATTTAGATGTAATAATCACAAGAAAAAATGAAACATTGCTGTTCCGAAAATACGAAAAAATATGTAATAATAATAAGGTGATTAATTACAAGTCATATTCTTCTATAGGAATAAAAAGAAATGTTTTTTTGATGGAATTAAAGAAAATATTTAATAGAACAACTTTAAAAAAATATATTGAAATTGAAACTAAGAATCTTTTTAAAAAATATTTATTGAATGACTATCCACAACAGCTTATACGTAAGTGGTACAATTCGTATTTAAATAATAGATATAATGTTAAAAATAATAAAATAGAAAACTTATATATTAAAATTCCATATATTTTCAAATTTTATGAAAAATATAAAACTTATATTAAAGAATTGTTCTCAGTCAATTTAGTAGGTGAACAAAAAAATAAATTAAATAACAGTATTTGTCTGATTAATAAAGCAAATGAAAAACAATCGAAGAATCCTTTAGAAGTTGCAGAAGTCGTATATGAATTGATGTGTACGTGCACAGAACGGAAAAGCTACGTTGGAGAAACAGGAAGAAAACTGGAAGTGAGGCTAAAGGAGCATGAGGCGGCAATTCGATTGAACAGAACTGAATCCCCGTGGCAACAACACTGCAGTATTAAAAATTGTCTTATTGATCGTAGTAATATTAAAATTTTGTATAAAGAAAAAAATTTTGTAAAAAGACGCATCATAGAACATTACTGTATTAAAGAACATGCAAATTGTATAAATTTAAATACCGGAGCATATGTCGATGCATGCTGGGATAACTTGATAAACTATAATAGTACTGGCAACTTGACAGTGTAATATCCACTGAAGAGGCTAAAATAGCGAAATATATATGGATAACATAATAAAGTAAGAAATAGTGAAAATAATTCTCTGGTTTTCTCTGTTTTTTTAAACTCTATCGAAGTCGGAATTAAAGAGTGAACGTCACTTGTGGTTCTTAGAAATTTTTTTAAACCGAAAAATTTTTAGAATTTATTAATTTTAATATTTGTCTACACCGATCCCATTGTTTTTTATTATTTATTTCATGTGGAGTTTTCTAGATTTTTTAACATTAGTAACACCTAAATGGGGTCCAGTCTTCATAGAAAGTCCTCTTGAGAGGCATCCCCTCGGCAGATCACCTAGCCATAACCAAATAAACCAATCTTCATCTTCCTCTGTATTTCTCTTCTCTTTTGAAGATATTCCTTCCTAAAATTGCATGTAATAGATTGATCACTTTACAGACATCCATTTCATTATTTTATACATATCTAAATTTGTATACTTCAAATTTTACATTTTATGATACAATTTTATTATTCGAAAAAATCAACACTTGAAACTTTTGTCCTCCCTAAAACCAGTAAAAATAGATTTTTCTCAGTTTATGAGTTTCAAAATTTATTTAAATCTATTATGAAAACTTAAAAAAACATTAAAATGAAATTAATAGGCAAAAGAACTTCATTTTTCAACAATTGATAAACTTATTGTTGGTGCTCGTTGACAATACTTTTCGCTGTCAATTGTTACAGAAGTGCATTGTTGAGTTTTTAATTGATGAACTTCCTTCTGAGTCCTGGCGCCCACCACCACGCACCAAGCAGTCTTCGTACCCTGAATGCTGAGAGTTCAGTCGTGGTTTCACGCGTTGCTCGAATGGGCTGGCTATGTGGAGTTTTCTGGGTTTTCTCCACGTCTGTAACGCCTAAATAGGGCCGGTTTCCCTTAAAAAGAACACCCGGAAGGCATCCCCCTAGGCAGATAGCCCAAGTGTTGCATTGCCATAACAAACAACAATAACTGAGTCCTGGCACCATCCCGACGTATCGATCGCAATGGATCTTCGGCATTGGGATCAATCTAAAATATTTAGATCAAGGCTGAAATGTGGTCCTTAGACATTGGGTTCAATCGAAAAAACTACTGGAACTATTTTAGAATATATGAGAGAAGAAGACATCTCTGTTCGTCCATTCCCAAAAAGCCCGCATAGGGCGAAGACACAAGACACTAAGAAGATATTCCAAGAAGTATTTATAAAATGCTGAAAAATTCTGCAGTAAATTCTGTGATGTGAATATTTAATGAACCTTCAACACTGAAAACAAGTGCAAATGTAATGTAGTTTTTTTAATATAAAATGCTTTTATTTTATTGCCCACATGATCTGTAATAGAATATTCCTAAAATTTAAACAATGTCTAAGTATAAAACTTTTTAGATATATTTTATATTAACAATTAATATTTTATCAATTTTATATTTAATATTAAGTCTGACCTCACTAGATTTGGTTTTATTTGTTTACGATGGGCAGTCTGCTGTGGGAGTATGCCTCCCTGGAGGACGTTCAAAGGAAATCTGGCCCTATTTAGATGCTAAAAACGTGAAGAAAACCCAGAAAACTAGGCTAGCCCGTTGGCCAGGGCAGATATGACTCATGAGCCTCTTCTATTTTCCCACCACCTCAATCTTTAACCATCAAAATTATTAAATTTTGTTGGTTAAAGATTCCATAATATCCAAATCTCCTTGCAAAATTTCTTAACCTTTTTCCTTCCATGCCCCTTTTCTAATCAGCGAAGATCATGATCCCTTCTCAGAAACATTTTGAAATGCACTTGGTCGCAGAGTCGTACTTCACCAACGGACTGATCACGTGGCATTTTCTAGGTTTCATTCACATTGTAACACCTAACTACAGACCAATTTCCCTGTGTATATAGGGAAATTGGCCCCTATTTAAGTCTCCATTTTCATATGCAATTTACTCATTCTTCCCACCAGGTCACTTTGAATCTGTTCCTTGTTACTTCGTTCCAGATTTTTGTTTCAATTTAGNTCAGCACCCTGTTCATCATGTTACCATGCAACGTTAGGAAGAAATGTTAATCCTGTCTACATTGATAATGCTTACTGCTCATACAGTCATGGCAATGGTTTCATCTTTATATTGTATAGTTTTAAGCATAGTTTTAAGTTTAATTTTTAAATTTGATATTTTTTCTCACCTTGTATAATTTTAAGTATATTAAGACCTCTCGCTATTACCAACTGATGAGGGACTATTTTTCCATTGGAGAATAGTCCGAAATGCATTTTGGATTTTTATGGTTTTTATACTTATGTAATCATCTTATTGTACCTCTTTTTGTTTTATTAAATTTTTACTTTGATTCTTGAGCATTTGTGCCCATTATCATTGGTGTGATAAGCCCTTCCTATTATCTGCCTTACGGTTATAGATATTTTAATTAATTTAATTATACTTAGGGCTTAAAGCAATTTCTGTAATGACAAAATGCCAATCTTAATTTTTACATTCTAAACATATAGGGTCACTTTAGATATTTATTTAATGCATATACAAAAGGAAATACCACAAGATAATTGATATTTACTTCAAATTAACACCTTTAACAAAAGATTAAAATACAAATAAAGAATAAAAATCATTAGACATGATAAAAATATATACTTAATTAAAAACTAACAATTATATATTACAAAATAACTGTTTACAAATGTGTTTAAAATGTATAAAATCTTAATGTAGAGATCATTCCATATAGCCCATTTTCTGAATAGACTGATAGAAAAAGGATCTGAAAGAAATAGAAAGCCTAAAATTTGGGGTAAAAAAACAAGTGTAGTTATGAGTAATGTGTAGCAGAACTCTTAGGCACAGCCAATCAGAATGAATGGAACCATGGAAGTATTTATGTAAAAATAAATGATGAAAGTATTTGATACATTCAGTAAAACTGGGAATTTCCAATCTGAACCTAGTTACATTAGCATTAGGAGTAAAAGGAAGGTTAGAGAATTTATTTAAAATAAGAAATATTTTATCTAATTCTTTTAATACTTTTTGTAAGTGAAATGAGCCAGTCATAGTCCATATCGACAGACAATAATCAAGTGGAGACAATATTGGCAAAATAAATGACTTGTAAAACTGTGTTTGAGGAAATAGTTTTGCAAAAACACCAAAGAATTCCACAAGTAGCTCCAAGAATAGCTAGAGATTTAAACGCTTTTTCAACATGTTCCTTTGAAAGTAAGTTTAGGATAAAAAATGACCTAGGATTATAAATATAAAATGTGGGCAAGTGAAGATTACAAATAAGTGAAAAACACATGATTACAGTTTTTTTGTATATTAATTTTTAGGTTAGCTTTTTCTAAAGAGAAAGATAAATGGAGTAAATCAGGCTGAAGAACAAGTGGGTCATGGTTAATCAATTTATTATAACAGAGGATAATATAGGTGAAGCAATATGATCAAATATATTGTTTAAATAAGCTGAAAAAATAGACTGCTTAAAGTGGATGTATAATAAGTTAAGATTTATACAGTATTTTAAAATAAATAAATGAAATACACTCCTTGGAGTAAATAATAAAATTTCAATATAATTAAAAATGTTTCTTCCGTCAGTAGCTCATATAACACTATATTTTATACTATGGTAATTTCTTCTATTAAATCTATCTTAATCACTCTTAATTTCTTTAAATTTGTACATTCATATGGAATATGCTTTATTAAAAATGAAATGCTACAAAATTTAGAAGTTTCCTAAAGCAACAATATCTTCCTTTTATTAATAATTTCATTGAAATAAATACATTTTAAAATTTGGATAAACAAAACATTTTTGAAGTGGTTTTTACACATAAGTCTAATTACTGAAAGAAAACTGCTCAGGTATAAAGCTAATATATAATTTTCTGCTTACAACTACCTAGCAAAAATATCAGATCCAACAAAACATAGCATCAAAACTACAGAATGCTAACCTCTTACTATATAGGGCCACTAGATAGTGTTACTTAAGAAAAGTGAGAGTAAATAAATGTAAATTTTACTTCATTCTTGAATAATTTTCATTTTAAATCCCTTTAAACAGTTTATTCTCTTTGTTGAGTTAATTGGGTTGCAATTTGAAAAAATTGTAGATCTATAAATTCCTACTGTCAACCGCCTGTCTGTCCTTCTTTAATCTCGAGAACAAAGTTAGATATTGATAGATGAAAGCCGAGACAAGCTATGAAAATGAGAGTTAGAGAGATAACTGGTATGACTTAATTGCTAAAGGAAAAGTATGATGTACAGGGGCAAGACACTACTAATTTGAAGGTGGAGAGCATATATTTTAATTAAATAAATTAAAAAATATAATGTGAGATAATTCATTCATATTAAAATATAACTACAATAATACACANTGTTGACGTACCCTATTAAAACACAATCAAAAACGCAAAAACCCACATCTAAAATAGTATAAATAGAAGCAGAGTTCTTTACCGTAAGCCTTAATCCTAACCATCTCCCTTCAGTAGGGGGAATTTCGACACGTATATTACAGTATATAAAAATACGTGCGTGCGTATTCGAATGCAGCGCTGTGTCAAAATTTCAAAGGAATCGGTAGGAACAAACGAACATTACATTTTTATTTATATAGATAGATAGAAGATGATCCGCTTTAGTTCATTTTCACAGAAAAGCAAACTTAGGGCATTGTACTCGTAGCGCCATCTGTTGGACAAAAAAGCCTTAACCATAGATGATATCATTTAATTTATATGAATGTTTAATGGAATAATATACAGCCTATGTCCACCCTGAGGTTCCATTCTAAATATTGGTGAAAGAATTTTTAAAATCGGATGAGTAGTTTCGGAGATTATCTGATGCAAACAAACTTACATACATACATACATACATACATACATACATACATACATACATACATACATACATACATACAAACATTACCTCTTTATAATATTAGTAT